TTAGTCTTCTCTTTCTAAAATTGTGATTTGATAATTGTCATTGATTTTAGAAAATTTTCAGCCATGATTTCTTCTCTCCTTTTTCTTCTCTTCCTAGGATTCTAAGTACACATATGCTAGACAATTAATTTTCTACCAGCTCTTAGTTGCTCTGTTCTATTTGTTCATTTACCATTGATTTTACTCTTTTTCAATGTTATAATTTGTATTGACATAATTTCAAGGTCACTAATTTTTTCCTCAGCTGGGTCTACTGATGAGCCTCTTGAAGACATTCTTTAGCTTTATTACTGTGGTTTTTCTTTTTTTTTTATGTTAAGCATTTCTATGTGATTTTACTCATAGTTTTCATTTCTTTGCTGAAATCACCTGTCTTACTTGCATATTGTCCTCCTTTCCTATTAGAGTTTTTAGCATACTAATCATAGTATGTCACTGTTATTTGACATGTGTTAGCTTAGGGATGGTGACAGGGTATTTTCTATAGTTCAAATAAATACCTCAGACTTAGGTAGTCACTCTATCTCTGAGTCTCATGGGTTTTCACTGCTTTCTTCATTCTCCTCCTCTTCTCTAAATTTAGAGATTTATTTTTTTCTATTTTCCTCCCAGCTGCAAGGGGTTTTCACCAGTGTCTAAGGATGATGTGTTTGTAGCTCTCCTTCACACAGTATAAAGCTCATGTTCCATAGGGGAGGTATGGAAAAAAGATCAAGGAGAAGGGGATCCTTTCCCACCCCCCACCATTTGTCTCCTGCAAGCATGCCCTTCAAGGGGTGTTTTCTCAAGACCCTCACCATTATTTGTGTATGTGTGTGAACACATGGTGATGTTACTGGAAAGGAGTGTAAAGTTGGTGAAAATCTAAAGTCCTGTCAATTCTATATTCTCTACATTACTCACGAACACTCAGCCTTTGCTAACCTATACTCAGTCTTCACCAAATTGTTAACAATTTTAGTTAAGTCCTTTTCAGTGTCTACCTGCATCTGTCCCAGGTAAGAAAATGTTCTCACCTCCTCTCTCTCTGTAGGCACCTGTCATTCCTTACCCCTCTGATAGTGTAAATAACAGTTACAGATTTCTGTTTGTTGGCTTTGTGTTGTCTTGTTGCTGTTATTAGTGTTGTAAGGATGAGTATGCTTATTCTAGCTTACTGCATCACCAGATGGAACAGAAAGCGTCTGCTTGCCTTTGATGAGACAGCTAGAAATCTGCCTTGTGTTTGAAACAAGATCCCATTCTGTCCAGCCATACCTGTACCTTTCCTTTGGCTGTATTTCCAGGGATTTGGAATTAAAAGTCCTGATGGAGAACTGAAAAATTTACTCCCCTTGAGGGTAAAATGATCTCTAGCTCCTTTGTTGGTATGAATATTTCAACATTTGAAATAGAGTTCATTTTGGATTTTTTCTATTATTCTCCTTATCAAGTCAATAAAACCTTCTGAAATTCTCTTGTGTTGAGAGAGTATGTGAGTTACATTATGAATTTATTTACCCTAGATAACACTTCACAAAAGCTTTTCTAATTTACATTTCCTATATCCTATTTCAAAAGTATAAAGCCAACAGGCTATTCTGTTATTTCAAAAAAATAAAAAGAATCATTTAATTAGTAGTATGTCAGATGAAAGGGACATTTTGAATTGTGGCATCACTCTGAACATATGAAAAACAAACTCTGTACCTGTCATGACAATGGTATGAGTCATGAATATTCTATACATTTCTGATTAATCAAAATCCATACAAAAATATCAGTCAGATCAGAAGAGTCAGAATTGATTAAACCACATTTACCTTATCTGTATTGTCCTGATATCACACAGATTAGAATAGAAGCCAATGTGATAGTGTGAGAACAAAAGACTTGTCAACCTGACAATATTTTAAACAGAGAAACAAATGGAATTTTGCAAACCAATTCTGATAAACTAAACCTGACTCTACCTTGAAAAACATAATGGTATTTGTATGCTTTTAATATGGTTATCAGCACAACCCTTCTATTCTAGGGTATCTAGACACATAGTCTTCAGGTATTGGGAAATAACATCTTCAGTTTGAGACTAACATGGCCTGCAGTGCGCCAGCCACATACAGAAAACTACAGGGCAAACTTGTCTCTGTGATTAAAAACTCACTTGAAAAGACCTCTTTGCATGTGGAACTTTTCTGGGCAAAGGATAGAGGGCTTCTTTGTCTTCAAAAAGCTTCAAAGGATATATAAAAAAAAAAGCATGTGTAACCTGGAAAATCAAATGTGTGAGGTAAGGAAAGTATTAACATTTTATACTCAGCTGATAATTAGTATCTCAAGTCCTTACTCCTGGGTTCCTTCCCCAAGATAAAATCAGTTCAGGTAGAAAGGTATAAACAAAGCACCCCCTGACTCCTTCCATTGCTATTGTGCTAGGCAAGCTGAAGACTTTGGAATAATTAGGTGGCTATGGCTGCTGACTGAGGATGCAAAGGTGGGCTTTAACAGTGGGGACAGTTGCTGGGGATAATCTTCCCAGCCTGGCCTCAGATAGCATTGTAATAGACAGATATAGCCATGTGTCCTCTACATGACTAGAATGCATTGTGCAGAGAACTTCTTTGTTATGTTTTTTACTGTCAAATTAGACACTTGAAGATTAAACTTTCACTCTCTGAGAAGCAAGGAGTAAAGTATGATCCTGCTTTTCCTCTGTTTTCTCTCTCTCTTGAAACTCATTCCCATTTATTTCCTACAGCCCATTCCTCAGGGACTCAGCAGCCTCCCTCCCTCCAATGATGCACATCAGCATGTCTGAGAAAGGCACCTGCTAATTATCCCACCCTGGCTGGCACAGGGTAAGGTGGTGAGCAGTTTCAATACGGCTCTGTGCCTTTTTAAAAAAATTCCATCTCTGCCAAAAGTTATAAATGCTTTCGATAAAGACACTTTTCTCTTTTGTTTTTAAGAAGAGAATAGCTTTGAGAGTGACATAAATTTTAAAATACACAATTTTTTCCATTGAAAACAAATTAGCAATCAGAGTAACAATGGGCTTTTTCTAGGCTTCCACAATATCAATTTCACAATAGCTCTTCCAAAACTAGTCAAGTTGAAATATTCCTACCTGACATCCCTCTTCTGTTTTCTGTTAACTCAACCCCTCCCCTTTCTTGGTTCACTTTTCTTAAATACCCACAAACTTTATTCATTGGCAAGCAATGTAAAGAACTGTGGTGTTGTAACATTCACAAAGACAGGGCCAAGGCTTCATTTAAAGCCTACTGGCTGTTCACAAGAACACTCATCTATTTGTTTTATAGTGAAATTCCACTTTGATAAACTCACTGGAAGAAAATTTTTAAAAAAGATTCTAAGATATTTTAGAGTCAAATTTCCCTCAGACTCTCTAGATAAAAGATCCCTTTTGAAAAGAACCTCTCTAATTCTGGTTCACTTATACTATATTCTATGTATTCATATTCACTACCATGGTATTCTAAACAGATTAAAAGGTGCTTTAATAATTTGTTCCTGTAACATCAACTAAATCTGCTCCAGTGCATATTTTAGAATGTGTGTTCTGTTTTGAGGAAAATTAAAAACAAGTTAATTTATGAACGGGTAGTGATGAAATTTCTACAGATTAAACCAATAATTTCTGATGTTAATTTTTTTTCACTTGGGTATTACCTTTTAAAATTGTCTGACCAAAGTTAATTAGGCAGGGCTCTTTTAAATAAGAAATTTAAGTGATTGACAGAAAAACCTGGGGGTAAGGGGATAGGGAAAGAGAAAGGATGGCAGTTGAGAAAGGACAAATTGGTTTGAAAATTTTTATCTCATGCAAACTAGAAGTAACAATGAAATAAAGTGGATGAATATGGAATTTATATGCCAAGACTGAGAAAGCATGGATATTGAGTGAAATCATGAACCTAAAGTACAATCTAATACTTGCATCTTAAAATGGAAAGGTTGCAATGTTATAGCAAGAAATGCCATTTGTTTAGTAGGCAGAGAGATCCACTTTGCAGACTATCAGCTCAGTTCCATACAGAAGTTACATGTCCATCTATGTTTCCTATTGGATGTAGTGGGCACTGGTGGGGACCTGGTATCCAACTTGGCTTTTCCCTTCCCAACAGAACACCAAGATTGCTAAGGCATCCCCTTGGCTTCCACACACTGGTGGAGCCTCGGGGAGCCCCCCCCCACCACAGTGCACGGGAATGAGCCTGACCGAGTAAGGGTCATCCTGCTCTTGCAGACCAGAGGTCAGCAAATCTCTCCTGTAAAAGGCCATTTGGTAAATACAATACAAAGGAGTGTGACTGAGAAAGCTTTGTGGACACTAACCTTTTAATTTCATGTAATTTTTACATCATGAAATAGCATTCTTCTTCTGACTTTTCTTCAGCCATTTAAAAATATAAAAACCAGTTGTAGTTAGCAGGCTATACAAAAATGGATACCGTGTTGAATTTGGCCTATAGGCTATAGTCTGTGGACACTTGCTTTAGGGACCAGCATTGTCTAATGGCATTTTCTGGGACGGTGAAAATTTTCAATAAGTTGGCCACATGTGGCTGCTGAATATTTGGAATGTGTCTGGTGTGACTATGGATTCAAATTTTTTATTCTCCTTGATTTTAATTTAAATGTAAACAATCACCTTTGGCAAGTGTATTAAGGAATCTCACTCCATTTTTTGAATGCTGTTTGATTGCTGACAACTTTTAGGCCTCACCCCTCTCCCTCCCCTTTGCTCCCCACAGCCGTGTAAGTGGGTAAGAAAGCCCGTGTATGCCTCCTTTGGCACCAGTGGGAGATACAAACCACTCCAGTCCCTGCCCACACCCAGGAACTCTCCCACTGGCCTCAACGCTGACTACAGTAAAAAAACAGGCCAGCCCCCCTTTCCTGCACTCTCAAGCTATTTCACCTCTGCTGGAGAGAACTGCCCTGCTCTCCCCAGACACTTCAGTTATGGGGGTTATCAACCCTCTCATACCTTCTCGGTGTGTGCATGGCATCATCAGTTTGGGCATCCTGCTCAAATTTTGGGTGAGGGTCCATCTGCCTCTGTATGGGACCATAACAGTGAGTCATTACCATATTCATAATAACACAGCCTAGAGAGAAGTTCGTTCAGAGATGGATATAGGTGACTGGGTTCTGAGTCAGACTGTTGAGAAAACAATGAAAAGTTGGCTAGGGATATCTGGAAAATTCCTTTTCAATTTTTTGGAAGTAATCCTCTGCCTTTGACTCAATGGCAGTGTACATGGAATTCTGTGTACCATTTCTGCTGTCATCTGTGTTTTTTTTGCAGGGGGAATCAGCCTTGGAGAATGAAGTTGATCCTGTGATAGGATAACAGGTCCTTAATGACAATATTGAACTTGTGGATCACCCCTTCCTGAAGCTGTCACTTCCTCTCAGCTTCCAGGGATGATTTCTGAATCAGATTTATGCTAGTCCAAAACAGAACAACAAATATATATAATTGATCCTAAGAGGCACATTTCCCAGTCTACGCCCTTGTTTCAAAATCTCAAAAATTGGACAAGTCTTAGATAGTTGTAGTGATTTTAAAACAAGGGTGTTAGGAATCATCTGGCGGAATCTTTTTCCTTCTTTGCAATACACAAAATAATGTTGTGTCTGATAGTGGTGGTGTCTTAGGTTTGATGAAATATTATAGATTTCATAAATACTTCAGGCTTTGGGATTTCCTCCTTCTTCCCTCCCTCCCTCCCTCCCTTCCTTCCTTTCTCCTTTTGTACTTACAGCTGTTTAACTATTTAAGTAAGCCTTTCCTCAAAGATAATCTTTTCTTCAAGTTTTATATATCCCCTAGTATTATGAAACAGCATTTTCATGCTAGCACATCTCCAGAGCATGCCTAGTTGAATTTTAATAGCAGAGTAAGATTTTATTACCTGAAGAATACATTCTGGTTTGTGAACCAAAGGCAATGTGCAAAACATCATCCAAAATTGGGAAGATCATTTGGGAATATCAACTAAGTTAAAAAATATTTTTAAGGGGCTGACATATTCTAGCAATATTCAGGCAATGAACAAATTGCCCTTGGATAAAATGAAAAAGAGGGTATCTACTTAATTGTATGCTTGATGCACTCCATTGTCCCTGGCTACTGATGGGCAACTTAACTATGAATTACATTTTTGTTATTACTAGATTTTTAACATTCTTTTTGTTTTATTGTAAAAGTTCGGCACAATGCAGGCATATTATTATGGGTTTTAAGAACCACCAAGCATTGCCATTAGTTCAAACATATTGAAATCCAAAATAAACACCCACATTCATGAGCCAAACCTCCCAGTTCATATTGAATTCTCTTATTACAAAAAGGGCTTTCTTGCAAATATTCCCTCTCCTCCACCCCCAAATCTCTTTCAAAATGGGAATAAGAAACTTTAATGAAAAATAAAGTTCTGTTTAATAATTCAACAAAAAGATAAAATACATAGGAAAGTATATGAGCTAAACTTTGAGATATATAAAAGAGGCTTTGAATAAGTAGATTATTATAATGTTTTTGCATTAAAAAAGTGATGCCAGTCTTTCACAAAATACTTAATAGATTAATGAAATACTCATTAAAAATCCAGGATAGATGGGGACATGAGAATGTGATGAAGTAATTTTAAAGATAAAGGGTAAAAATAACCAAGAATATATTGAAAGTGAAAACTAATCAAAGGGAACTTGCCCTACTAGATAATACAACTTCAATAATTAAAGCAGTGTGTTACTGACAAGAGAATTGGCAGACAGATCAATGTAATCAATTTGATAGTCCAGAAATCAACCCTATTATAGATACCAACTTAGTACATATTAAAGGTGGCATCACAAATCAGTGAGAAAAGGAACCATTATTGAATAAATGGTGCTGGGATAGATACTTAACTATTGGGAAAAACAAAGTTAAAATACCACTCTAAAATAAATTGCAGTGGGTGCCCCACTCTGATGCACAAGGAGTTCAAGAACTCCTATTAAATGCCAGAGGTAAATATAAAATGAGAAGTCCTCTTTAAGCATGAATAAATCAGAAGAGATCACAAAAGAAGAGTAAATCCCAATAGAAGATGAAGCATATGTGTCTATCTTCTCCTGGTCCCAGTGCACGGAAGTGATAGAGTAGCTTGAAAGAATCAAATCTTCCAGAAAACAAACAAATAAGTACTATCAGTGTACCAGAAACTGATGTTCTGGAAGATAGAAAGTGGAGAAACTATAGCTCAAAACAAAAAGAGATAAGGTGCTTCACAGGTAAGAACGGTTCTTCCCCATAAAGCCTTAAAGCAGGCATTCTCTCAGAGGGTGGTCCTCTGATCAGCAGACCTATAGAAGTAGAAATTCTGGGAATGGGACCCAACCATCTAGGTTTTAACAAGCCCTCCAGGTGACTCTGATGCACAAGGAGTTCAAGAACTCCTGTCCCAGGGAAACTCCACATTCATAGTGAAATACAGGTGCAAAAGGAATAATCAGCAGGATCATTAAATGAAGGTCGACATTCGTAGCAAGTGGGCCAACAGACACCCCTCTCTACTGTCCACAACACTGAGCAGTGTATAGCCAGGGTCTTTATCCTCAGAATAAAGTCCCAGGAATGACTTTAAAAATAAAACACACATTCTGTATTTAGGGAATATTTGCAAGGTGCCTGATATGAATGTCAGGGCTGGAGGGAAAGGGGAGCAGAGACTGAGAATTTCATGCCTTCTCAATGCTGGCAGAGAGAGGAGGAAGAGATTTCCCTCCTCAGAATGATTTGTGTAGAACCCAATTCTCTGAAGTGGTAGTCCTGACAAGGGGGACTCTCAGAGTTGCCTGGGAGCTGAGGAAACTGGCATGCACCCCCATCAAATTACTGCCGCCAAGTAGAAATTGAGCCTCTTCATCTGGAAGTCCATCTTGCCATATCCATCTTGCCATTAGCCCCCATCTTGCCCACTATACTCACCAATATTCAGAGCTCTTATTCAACAGGTAAATAAGCGTGCTATTTGCCTATGGTAAGTTTGTGTTCAGATTAGAGTAGCCATTGTTTTCTGTGAAGAGTCAGATATTAGACACTTTTGGTTTTGCAGTTCAGTCCTCTGCTGCAATTACTCAATTCTCCTACAGCACAAAGGCAGCCATAGAAAATTGGCCATGGAAAATACATAAATGAATGAGTGCACTGTGTTCCAATAAAACTTTATTTACAAACACAAGTGACATGTGGGCTGTATTTGGCCCATGGACCATAGTTTGCTAACTTTGAGACTAGAGTCAAGATTAGACTCCCAAACTCAAAAATAAACCTAATTGAGGAAAACCAATGTCATAAGTGAGAGATTCTAAACATGGACCAGAATCAATCTGTGAGGAAATGGAGTTACTAGAGAAAAGAAAAACTGTTAAAGAGCTTAACACTCTCAGAAATAGTTGTGAGGGTATTGTGTCTGTAAAAAATAGTGAGTTACTGAGAAATAAACAGATTTCTTAAAAATTATATATATGATTACCAAAATAATAGCTACCATATTTGTTACAGTTTGCTATTTGTGGCCGTTGTTCTTTGTATTTTGTCTTCCACTCCCTTCTGTCTTTTGTGGTTTTAACTCAGCATTTTATATAATTCCATTTCTCTCCTTTCTTAATATATTGTTTTGTATTTTTTTTCGTTTCTTTCCTTAGTGTGTACTCTGGAATCTGCAATATACAACTAATCCAAATCCACTATCAAATAACACTGTAACACTTCACTTTATCATTTATTACTTTGAAAAAACTGTTATATTAGATCAATTAAGAATTAGAAAATACCTATTTACCTTCACTTATTCCTTGCCTGATGATCTTCCTTTCTTTATATAGATTTGAGTTTTCTTTCTCTGTAAAGAACTTCTTTAACACTTCTTTCATGGCAGGTCTATTGGCAACAAATTTCCTTAATTTTATTTGTCTGATAAAGGCTTTATTTCTCATTCACTTTCAAAAGATAATTTCACAGTGTACAGAATTCCAGGTTGATACTTGTTTCTCTTAACACTTTAAATGTTGCACTCTGCTCTCTTCTTGCTTGCATGGTGACAAGAAAAGAGGGGATGCAAACTCGACAGTCCAAGCAGGTTTATGGCTAAATCTGAGAGGGACCCTCTGTTCTGGCCAGCAGAATAAAGCAGGTTCTCTTACAGGCTAAGAGGCTTTTTATGGCCAAGTTTTTTGGCGGGCTTTTGAGGGGAGGGGTCAGGGAAAAGGTGGGCTTGTGGCTTGCTGACGTGTCTTTTGGAGAAAGCTTGTAGCCTAGGTAAGATGAAACCTAGGTCTCTCTGAGATGGCAGTGGGCTTATTCAAAAAGGTGGCACTCCTGTCTGGATTCTATCACATGGTTTCTTGAAAGTAAGTCAAATGTGGTTCTTATCTTTACTCTTCCATAAGTAAGATGTTTCCCCCCAACCTCTGGCCTTTTTCACAATTTTTTTCTTTATCTGATGTCCTATGTTTGAAATAATATGCCTAAGTGTAATTTTTCTGCTATTTATCCTACTTAGTATTCTCTGAGTTTCCTGAGTCTATGGTTTAGTTTCCAATATTAATTTGTGAAGGTCTCAGTTATTTTGGTTTTGACTGTTTTTTTTCCTTCTATCTTCTCCTTGTAGCATTCTTATTACACATATGTTACACCATTTGTAGTTGTCTCACTGTTCTTAGATATTGTGTTCTTTTTTTCTTTTTCAGTCCTTTTCCTCTTTGCTTTTCAGTTTTGGCAATATCTGTTAGGACATCCTAAAGCTCAAAGATTATTTATTTCCTCAGCCATGTCCAGTCCCCTAATAAATCAATCAAAGGTGTTCTTCATTTCTGTTATTTCCTCAGCCATGTCCAGTCCCCTAATAAATTAATCAAAGGTGTTCTTCATTTCTGTTATTTCATCTCTTAGCATTCCCATCTCTCTGCTTACACTGCCAATCTGCTTTTGCATGCTGACTACTTCATCCATTAGAGCTCTTAGCATATTTATCATAGTTGTTTTAAATTCCTGGTCTAATAAT